GAGTTGGAGGGAGGAGGCTGTGCATTGGTGACATTTATGAAAGAACCGTAACACCTAGGACAATAGTAAACACATTGGATGAAAGAGGACAGCCATGGCTACGTTTTGAGGGTAAAATCATACCTGTAGAGCAAACGCTGCAGACACAGCAGCAGTTTTAAAAAAGATTTTAAGATTAATTTTTTTGCTCCTCTCACTCTAGCAGTTGAGCTGCCTCACTCTAGCCCCAACATTCCGTCCCATACACACCCATTATAAACTCTGAAACGGGTGAAAAAACATCATGAAACTTAAACTGGAACTGAAGAAAAAGTATAATAGATATTGAAAAGATAAATACAAGTTGAATAGTTGAATGTCTTGTCTTCGTTTTAAAGTTTGAATGGTGGCTCTATGTCAATGTATGTGGAAGTAGTAAGAGTTTAAAAATGAGTAAGTTGAATGAGGATTTGAAGGGTCTCCCCATTGAAATACATGGGAAATTTTTGTTGAATAAAGTTGAATAAAATTAAAAATATAAATGTTAAAAATGAGAAAAATAGAAGCAGTCATGTCCAAAATAATAGGAATCTAACGATGTTTGAATGGTTTTTCTAAGTTGAACGGTTTTGAAGGAGTAGGACTTCAAAAAACGTACGGAATAGGAAAAAATAATAATAAAGATTAGAAGAACAATACTGTGAATGCTTTTCAAGCATTCACACTAATAATAAAGATTAGAAGAACAATACTGTGAATGCTTTTCAAGCATTCACACTAACTAGAAAGTGCATTTTCTGAAGAAACTGCAGTGTGAATGCTTGAATCTGAATGTATGCATTGAAATGAAATAATTACTGAATTTAAGTTAAAAATTTTAAATGAGATTAAAAAAAAACCCGAATTTAACCTGAAAACAAAAGTGCTGAACTGCTAAAAGCTGAAGGTTACACAGAAGAAGAAGTTGGAAAAAAGCTGAAAATGTTTAATTGTAAATTAGAAAAACCTAAGAAATGAGAAAAGAACATTTAGAGTCAGAAAACATCTGAAAGAATATTAAAAGGTCATATTCTTTGAATCACTGAATGACTAAAATGTGATCCCTCCACTTGGATCCACACAGTTTAAAAAGTTTAAATGTCTGAGCTTTGAAAGACAAGATGTTGGAAAGAGAACAATGATGGCGACGTTTTGAGGGTAAAATGATGGCTTTAACACTGTGGACACAGCAGCAGTTGAAAGAGAAGTGTTTAAGATGAATCTTGGCAGAGTGGCAGGCAGAGCTCGTTAAGCAGGCAGGTGTGAGCCTGGTTGCTATAGTGACCGCACCCAATGGCTCCATACACACGTACACAGACATGCACCTCACTTTTGCTGCTTAAAATGAACAGAAAAGTCAGGCCGAAACAAATCGTTCCCAAATGAAAAGTAAAAGTCGTACTGACAAAATTCTTTCACCGTGAGCGACAGCCATGTCTAGTCTACCAAATTCTCAGTTTTCATGCCTGTGGAGTTTATTATATGGACGTGGTGACAGTGTAAAGACACCATGCTCTTCTGATTTTCAAACGAACCTTCTGAGCCATTTTAACATTAGAGTCTATGGAAGAGTTGGAAGGAGGAGGCTGTGCATTGGTGACATTTATGAAAGAACCGTAACACCTAGGACAATAGTAAACACATTGGATGAAAGAGGACAGCCATGGCTACGTTTTGAGGGTAAAATCATACCTGTAGAGCAAACGCTGCGGACACAGCAGCAGTTTTAAAAAAGATTTTAAGATTAATTTTTTTGCTCCTCTCACTCTAGCAGTTGAGCTGTCTCACTCTAGCCCCAACATTCCGTCCCATACACACCCATTATAAACTCTGAAACGGGTGAAAAAACATCATGAAACTTAAACTGGAACTGAAGAAAAAGTATAATAGATATTGAAAAGATAAATACAAGTTGAATAGTTGAATGTCTTGTCTTCGTTTTAAAGTTTGAATGGTGGCTCTATGTCAATGTATGTGGAAGTAGTAAGAGTTTAAAAATGAGTAAGTTGAATGAGAATTTGAAGGGTCTCCCCATTGAAATACATGGGAAATTTTTGTTGAATAAAGTTGAATAAAATTAAAAATATAAATGTTAAAAATGAGAAAAATAGAAGCAATCATGTCCAAAATAATAGGAATCTAACGATGTTTGAATGGTTTTTCTAAGTTGAACGGTTTTGAAGGAGTAGGCTTTCAAAAAACGTACGGAATAGATAATAATAAAATAGAATAATAATAAAGATTCGAATAACAATACTGTGAATGCTTTTCAAGCATTCACACTAATAAAGATTAGAAGAACAATACTGTGAATGCTTTTCAAGCATTCACACTAATAAAGATTAGAATAACAATACTGTGAATGCTTTTCAAGCATTCACACTAATTATATCTTTTAATTTTGTAATGAGGGCAACGTGATTTAAAATATATTAACCTTCTGTGTAGGGCTGGGCGATATGGCCTAAAATCAGGGCTGGACTGGGACAAATAATCGGCCCGGGCATTTTGACAAGAGACCGGCCCACCAAAAATGTGACGCCATTCAGGGGTAAAACCGCAAAGGATTCTGGGAACTTGTGGCAAGAGGTACTAGCGCATGCAGGCTTTCAATTGAACTCGGTTACACAGCAATAAAAAGAAACACAAAAAATAGCCGGTGTTGTGCCAAAAAGTGATTGTCTGCCAAAAACTGATTTCCGGTATTTGCCAAAAACTGATTGCTTGTATTTAAATTGCTATAAGTAACTTGTTGGGCTATAATATGTGAAACATATGTCAAATGCATCCCTCATGGATGACATAAAGTCATCTCTCCCTCTCCATCTCTCTCTCCTGCTCTTTTATTTCTCTCTCTTGCTCCATCTCTCTCTGCTGCTCTTCTGTCTCCTCTGTCACAGACTTCTCCACTTTTGATGATAAATCAGCCTGGTGCAACATGTAAGGATTGGCACAATTAGTTAAGATTTTGAGGAGTTTGAGAAACTAACCTTAAGCATAAAATAAAATTTACTATCAGTAACTTCATAGCACCCGCCCAGCAGTATATAAACATCGTCATGCTAGCTAGTATGCAGTACCAGTTATTCTAAGTGACTGTAAAAAGTCAGCACAACGAAAACAAACTACAACTAAACTTGGTTTATATCTGACACAGATAGACAGCAGCAGGGGCGGAGCGTGGGGGTGGCTTACGGGGCTTAAGCCCGGGTTGTTTTGTCAGAAGCCCGGGGTATTTTGGAGTGTAATTTTTTCATAGTTAGATGCCTGGCTGACAACTGTATAAAACAAAAAGTACACACAATATTCGAAGCACATAGTGCACACTGTGGGAATTTACGACTGTGCGTGAATCCCCCCCTGATATTGGTATGATCCAAGCTCAGGCACTAAGCGACTGAGCGAGGGGGCGGGGCAGCTGCTGCCCGTGAGTGCGCTGTTGGAGAGACGGAGCCAGCCATACTAAGGAGAGCTTAAGTTTGACCAGGTACCAAAGCAAATCATTCGTACTGTACAAATAATGTAAATATGACGGTGCATCACGAAAGATTGATATGAAACTGATCACTTGACCAATATTACGTTACTTGCTCTTCAAGTGAATCAACAAATGGCAAAATGAAAAGCCGAACAAATGCTATTTTTTTTAGAGTCTTAGCTTACGTGTGTTTATTTCATATTTTCAGTTCTTACCCTCCCCGACTAAATCGGTTTCAGTTATGTACTGAAACATAAGAATGGACATTAGAGGCTTCTTTCAAAGAAAAAACTCAGGTAAATGTTATTTTATATATTATGCTTTGTATGTTGTTCAGTATATTTCTATGCAAAACAAGAGGGATTTCAGTACACAGCAGGATATTCACATTTGTAACCAGATATTTACATACACTTTAGGGAGAAAACATAAAACATTTTTACTGTACAACATCAATTTAGAGTAAATTTTTGTTTTAGATAAATATTGAAATATATTTTGAATTAGTTAAATTTCAGAATAAAGAGAGACAGAGCTATTTTTATCACTTTCATCAAATTTAGGAGTACATGTACACTAAATTTATTGTTAATTAATAAGAAAACTCCAGACGATTCCATTCTGAGCTGAAGAAGCTTCTGATAGGTTAGTAGAGTCCATGTGAGTAAATTGCTGGCACAGCTGTGGATGCATATAAGGCAAAACACAGAGCCTGTTTCTTTGACATGGGAAAATCAAGAGATATCAACCAAAACACCAGGAACAGAACTGTGGAGCTCCATAAGTGTGGCTCAATTTTGAATACAATTTGGTGCCAATTGCAATTAAGAAATACAGACAGTTTATCTCTTTACTCTTAAAGTTAACAAATATCTTTTTATATTTATCAATCTAAAAAAAATAAACATTTAGTCTGATTTGATGTTACAATTAAAAAAGTGTTTTTATCTGAAGAGTAAATATCTGGTTTCAACTGTATATTTGATGATTGTCAGCACAAAGAGGGAGAGAGAGGAGAACGAGGACAGAACAGATGAACAAGAGCAGGTGAGACACACATGTTAGTCAAATGGTTGTTTACCAAAAGTATCACCGTATCATAGGTCCTCATGTATCTCGTACCTAGTGTTTCTTTTTAGGTTTGTTATTTTTCAAATTCTGTATTTATTAAGTTCTGCAGGCTTGTTTGCACAACAAGGCTGAATAATTATATAAACTTTTCTCAATCTAAATAGTGTACTTTGGTAGAATTAAAAAAATAAGTGTAGTGCAGGTCTATGAAGATTTTTAGTGCTATCATCTAGTTCTGATTCTGGTTCTGTCTTGGTTAAGTCCTCAGTAGTCCTGATTTTGAACTGTTGTAGTCCTGTTTTTAATTCTGGATCAGTTCTGGGTCTGGTTGAATTGGGGTTTAGTCCTCGTGTCTTGATGCAGCCCTGACCTTGTTCTGCCTTGCTGCTTAATTAAAAAACTAGTTTAAGGTGTCCTGCACATGTGATATATATTTTATATATATATATTTTTCCCTATATGAAGTCATTCTTTTTTCTTTTTTCCAAAAAAAAAAAAAAAAAAAAATCCCACATGCATACTACTCTTTGGGCTAAGCCCCGGGTGTTTCAAATGTCTGGCTCCGCCTCTGGACAGCAGGTCATAACTTCTTACCTGAAGTTCAGTTCCTCTGCCACTATGACCGGCAGCCGCCTCGGGTCTCTCCTCCTCTTGCCTCCCCTTTCCCTTATCCACCTGCTGGTCCACCACTTGCTGATGTTGCTAAATCTGTGGAAGCTATGCCATAGCTACCACCAAACACTTCAGTTATTTTTACACATTTGGCAGCGTCTGCCTGAAGGGCTTGTTTCTTTTTGGCCCTAATTTTTTCTGCACCTCCTTTCCTTTTTTTGTTCTCCATTTTCTTTAGTTCGTCTATAAGATTGCTAAACAAGGGGGAGGGTGCATCCGACCTCCTCGGCTGTAATTGGTCCAGCCCAGAGTCGATCATGAGCAATTGGCCAATCCAACACCTTTCATTATTTATACCCTTCCAAAAAAAAAAAAAAAAAAAAAAAAAAATCGATCAGCCCATAAAAACAAAAAATCGCCAGAGGCCCACCGGGTATGCCCGATGGCCAGTCCAGCTATGCCTAAAATTCATATCGCGATATAATTTGCAGCACGTGCGGTAACGATATATATCACGATATATTCTTTTCTTCTGTATAACGTATTTTCCACACTATAAGGCACACTTAAAATCCTTTAATTTCCTCAAAAATTGAGAGTGTGCCTTATGTATGACTTCTGGTTGTGCTTACTGATCTCGAACTGATTTTGGCGTGCAGAAATCTGTTAAAAAATGTTTTAGTACAACTTTGGTAAGCCGCACTGCTTGATGGATTGTCAGAGCATTACGGCTGCTGTAGTGAGGAGCTTCGCGGAGTAATCTGGGTCCAAAACTCCGTCTACTTCAGGTCCCAAAGTCAAACGAACACTGAGAGTTAAAAACGGTCTAAATTCTTTCATCTTTAATTAAATCATTGCTTTATCAGGTGTAACAATTAAGTTTTACATCCATGAAAACAGAATTTTTTAAATTTAACAGGAAGTTAGCTTGCTAATTTACACCTAAACATTTCATACCATGTTCTGAAAGAGATTTTTGAAACTAATTAAAACGTACAGCTCTGCTACCACTTTCAACATAAATGAAGACAGAAAACTAAACAGCAGTGGCGTTTGTAGGTTTACTGAAGTTGGACTACCTGGTATATAATGTTGTGCTACGTGATTGCTAGCGACACAGCTATGTTAGCATAACATTGGCACAGTGAAGCTGGAAACTTTTTTTCCACTCGATAAAAGTTAACGTGAGGGATTCTGGTGGTCAGGGACAAATGCAATCGCATAGCAGGATGCTATACACGGGGCAAACTTCAGTCAGGAGAACAACTAAGATTATTCATCCACAATACGAGGTTAGTTATTAATATACTACAACGACATGGAAATAGAACAGCTGCGAGAGAATTCAACATTAATGAATCAATGTTACGGAAGTGGAGGAAGAGCAGGTTTTGGCTTTCCTCATATTTCAAAAGTGCTTCATCTCTTTGCTATGACTGTCGCCCGGCATAATTTGCAGATGATAATGGTTTTAGCCGCTGCAATGCTTTCGACCAAAACAGGCGCAGCTTGATGACATCATCAACATGCGCTATCGCGATAGAGTCAAAATCTCTATCGTTGGCCAAATTTATATCGTTTCTATCGCATATCGCTTATATCGCCCACCCCTACTTCTGTGTTAAAAAAACTTTAATAATCTCAAATGTTTTATATTTCAGTCTTACAGTTTTCATAAAATCATTAAAATATTTATTTAAGTTTATTTATTATCCACTTCCTGGCTTCCATACAGATTAAAAAAAAAAGCCACACAAGAGAACGAAGATGATAAGAATAAAACTAGCAGATGACGTAAAAACCATTTCCATCAAGAACAAGTTTGAACAAGTTTGCTTCAGGTCGGCTTTGAGACAGAATTTACTTTTTAATTTTATTGAAACAGAAGAAAAAAAAAAGTGACCGAAGCCTGCAGTCACAACACTCCCAACATGGCACAGAGGACTGTTATAAAGCATGTTTAATATAAAACAGTACAAAAGTGAGAAAAAAGAAGACATTTGGCAGGAATAATGTTTAAATCTGGGGGAAAAAAACTTGCAGAAGGATGCTGAGTTTGTGTCCTGAGGGTGGGTACAAGGACTCGGAGCTGCTCTGTGTGGAGTTTAAATCGATTTACAGTCTTTGTTGTGTCACAGACTGTATATAAATATATAAATTTAAACGGTGTACAGATACTGTATGTGCTGAGGCTGATGGTTCAGGTTTAAATCCTGGGGTTTTAGATAGAACTCTGGGTCCCAACCTTCTAATATTTATATTAGAAAGCAACATAATTTGGTTGCTTTAGGGATACAAACAGGAAGTGTAATGTTTGGGCTAAAGTCTGAGCCATGTTATGCTGTATTTTTTGAAATTTGGGCCATCAAAAATGTGCCAAATTAGCTTTTAACACTTCCTGTTTGCAGTGCTGTCATGGCTGTGAGCACAAGTATCTCGGGTTTACTCTGATCCAGAAGAAAATCTAAAATGTGGATTATTTTAAGGCAAATTCTGCATTTATAAGGAGTATCGTTTTTTCTTTCATTTGCTAGAGGATTTCTTCATTTTTGCTTACTGTGTGTTATGAGTCGGAGAAGGACAGCTTTATGGAAGCAGTGCTGCAAATATAATCGCCAACTGTGTCACTGAGCAGCCAAATCAGCATCACTAACCTCCTGTTGGTTTTCAAAGAGGACAACTATTATAAGTCTTTATGTCTTTATGTAAAATAAACCTCATCATAACTGACACAGTAAGAGAATTTGAAGTTGACAGATTTGCTGCGCATTGGCTCCACCAGGTGGTGCTTTTGAATTGTTTGCACTTCAGGTTATACTTTGTACTTCGTCCACCTAACTCTTCATCTAATCTCTTAATCTAATATTAAAACAAATAAATTAATTAAATAATACACGATAAATAAAAGAAATAAAGAGGCCAGTGGAATAAGCATAAAACTAATAGAATTGAATTTGAATTGTTTTACATATATTATAAATCATCTTGTGACATCTTAATTTTGCTTTGGTAACAATGAATGGAATAAGCAGAAAAAAATGAAAACAGCCTGACCATCTGAGTAATGCGCAGCGTCACTGGAAACACTTCAGTACACAAAATCATCATTTCCACACTGCCATGTCCTGAACACTGCCCCCTTTCTAAAAACAGCATTTAGTCCCTGCAAGTGCTAATTTTAAAGTGCCCCTGCACCTCCTCGTATATAAAATTACAGTCACATACAAAATAAAAATCACATCTTACCAGAGAGGTTGAATCCTCCTACTTTGTTCTGCTGTGTAAATGTTAATTGTTAAAAAAAAAACCCCCAGAAAGCTGCCATTTGAATAAATCTACATTTAAAAGCTGTTTATTCCTGTTGAAGTGCAGGAAATATTTTTTGCTACTCTGTCTTCTTTTCAAAATCTTAATAAAAACACCCATTTCTCTTTAATCCCATCTCACTGAACAATTAGCCTTCATAAGATTTTTTTTTACTATTTTCTCAATTATTATTAAGGCAATAAAAAAGATACTTACAGATATTTATTACTCGTTTAAAACATCCTTGAGGTGTGAAAACTGTGTAAATCTGTGCAAGTGCTTGCTTTGATATGAACAACAACATATGAACTGAAAGCTCAGCTGCATTACTCAAAGTAAGGCAACCGAAAGTATAAAACTGAAGAAACTATTGTGCCTTGTTAGCTGCATTTTAGAATCTTCCAAGATGAACCATAAACTGTTCCAAAAGGTCTAGTTATTTTTTATATTAAATGTGAAATGATTGTGTTTTTAATGACCAAGCTAAGTCAGCTATCTGAGGGGCGCATTCACTTCTGGCTAGACAGTTAGCTATTAGCTTTTAGGGTTGTAACAGTGGTGCAAACAGAGATGTTACTAATGGCATGGTGGTTAAAGTGCCAGTTAGCCATGAAATTGTTATTTTGGGATTTTTCATATATTAAATTTCCATATACCTGAAAGCTGTAGTCAATCTGATATGCCTTGAACAGTACTTCAAGATATCTACAAAAGCACTGAAAAGGAAAACACAAATAACAGTCAGCACTTTGAAACATAGCTTAGCACCCATATTCAAGTTTTGTGTGACATTTTTGATATGTGGTGTTTTTAGGGTTGAGTGAATAAGGCCTGTGTAAAGAGGTTTATGCTGCTGCACCAAAAACCACCTTACAATTGCATTGGTCTTCCATAGCTTGCGTGAAAGATGACAATTTGTCTGCAAACAATTGCCAACTACTCTGTGAGCAAACTGTTAACAATGTGACACACACTTGGTAGTTGCTGAATGTTTGCAGACCATTTGGTGTCCTCCATGAAAAATACAGGTGACCATGTCAAATACAAATCAAAGCAATATCAAGGAGAGTTTTTTTTATACAGCCCTCTTTTTGGAACCAATGTGACTGCCAGCAACATGCAGAAACTGCTTGCCAGCCAATCATGGAATACACATTTTCCCTTTGCGTACAATAGCAGACAAGTTATGTGCGTATAATGCACGTGAATAGCTAAGTGATGATTCATGCCATTGTACACTTTGTAAGGAAAAGCTATGTATAATAAGGGGCCTTGAGGCACCACCCATTAGTGATCTTAACAAAGCAGCCATTTGGGTTGTTTGGGTCTTTGGTTAAAATTTGTGCTAGCGTATAACATAAAGGCTCATATAAGTTTTTAACTTCTAGTCTGGTCCTCATTCTACTGCTACATGTGAAAATGTCTTTTGCAAATGTTTCCTGTTATCCATATCAGAAGTATGTAACTTCTATGCTTATGAACCTGGGTGCTCCACTTTAGCTCTGACCATCACAGTATTCTCCACTAAATTTCATCTCATGGTTTCATGGTCTCAGATTTGTTTGGGGCAACAAAGCTTGCAGGAATTGTCAAACTCCTGCTCCATGTGTCTCCTCAGAAGGCTGCAGTTGACATTGTGTCACAGTTTTGATGTACGTGTTTGGTTTGATGTCGATAGGAACTGAACCTGGCTGGCAATTTCACTTCAGTCGATCAGGGATCGCAGCACTGCCGCCATGCTGAGCCCTATAGCCAGGCTGCTCCACGTGGGCCTGTTCATGGCTCCGCCCGCCTTCTGTTGTAAAGTGTAGTTACAGGTAGGGGTGGCATCAGTTTGGGTAGTGCTACCCACAGTCCGTCTAGTCGTTCGGGCTATGCGTCGTAACAGGAAGTCGTGTTTAAGGGCAGAGTATTGATCCGGACCATACGGGACACTGAGAGTCTTTGTCAAAACCTCGTGACCTGGATATGTTACCTACAATAAAAGATATGGGAAAGCAGGACATACATTATGCATGCTTCCTTGGCAATATCATTAGAAACACAGTATACATTTTCATTGCTATGCAGATGATACCCAGCTTTATTTATGTATGCCCAACCTTAAGTACACCCTGCTTTATTGTGTTTTTAGTTTTTACTCTAATATGACCATAACTCACAAAACAAACATCATGTGGCAGTGAATGTTTATTTAGGTTGAAGAATAAGCTGCACTGGGCTGTAAAGTCTTACTGTGAATGTGTAGTTCCCAGGTAGCAGCAGACGGTAGTATTCCCCATGTTGATTGGTTCTGAATGGACATATATTCCTGCGACCTCTGACCTCCACCACTGCGTTCTCCACTGGCTCGCCTGAACCATCAAACACTTGACCTTTGACACCTGAACACCACATACCGGGTTATTATCAAGTACTGATACTGCTTCAATAGAGACAGGTGGACTCAAAGACAGAGACATACTGACCCAGGTGGACTTGCTGGACGTAGGCCAGCAGAGCCTTTTTATTGTCGTTCCACAAAGCAGGAAGCTCTCTGGCTGGAGGATACTTGCAGCAGGACAGTTCCAGAGTGATCTCCAAACACTGCCCCCACACATAGTTGTAATCCTGCATCCCACCTGATGCACACATTCAAACACATTCAGGTCCACACTGATGCTGAGACTAAGCTGCAGCAGCACAGATGGTCAGATGTTACTCTTACAAATATTTCACTGACCATTTTAAACATCAGTTAATACGTTTGGTCCATGAACTGTCAGAAGATTAAGGAAATTCAAAATCTTTTTAAATGTGATTCTAAAAGGCATTTGATCTTTATGTCTTAATTTTGAGTAACCTCAGATAAGCTGTCTATTGGAGTAGTCCTGATTGAATAACCAGGTTTTCATGACTGTAAAACAGGATCCCTGTCGGTTTCTAATGAATGTGCACAACAAGAGTCAAATCTCCATTGTGACCATCAAATGAACCCCTCGAGCCGTGCACAGTTCCCACATACGTGATAAGGTTACTGCGATCAGGTTTCTGCAGGATGACACCAGAGCGGGCTGCACGGGCGCTGAGCGCTCAGCAGCTCCTCATCGAGTTTCTGTCGTTAGAAACTCTCTCCAAATATGAGGAGATTATTTTTCAATGAAGATTATGTTTGAAAAATCGCAGGAAGTTCTTTTTTAGTTGTGAGAGATGCATTCTGGGTTGTTCCTAGTCTTAAAGCTGCTTAGCTAGGGGATTTTTCTTTTATTATATGGTGACTCGGCGTATTTGTTTGGTCTTGTTTAACCTGCAGTAGTTTCCAAAGGTTCTGGTAACGAGTTTCAAATTCATGACAATTAAAGAAAAAAAAAAGTTTCTCTACTGCTGAAATTAAGCATGAAGTTTGTCACAGATTAAGAGCTCAAAAACAGTCTACCAAAAGTTTCATGTGAGGCAATATATGAGTTTATCCAAGATTTAAGAGGATTTATTTTAGAAGTGATTCTTTATGTGTCACTCAGAGATGTTAATGCCAGGGACTTTCTTCTCCTTTGAGGTATTAGAAAATTTTAGGGAAGCTAAAGTGATGAGTGCAAGAGTATTTCCTGTCCTGTAGTTTTGCTGGGATGCTTGTCCTCCACTTTCACAATAAACCTCACATTCCCACTATCTTGGAATATTTTTACAGCTTACACTGTAAAAATATTCCAAGATAGCATTTAAAGTTGAAATTCACCCAACTTTCCAAGCAACACAAGCAATGAATGTCTTGCTTTATTAAAACAGGAAAAAAGCTGCTTTGCTCAGGTTTTCAGTTTGATCAAACAACTGCAATAGAAAATTAAAGAAATTGGCTATTATTTCTTTTCAAGATAAGTCAAAGAGTGAAGTTGGAGAACCTGTAAAAGCTTTGTACAGTCATGACTTTTTGCACTGTGAAAAAACAAGTGCACTCTGTGATTCAGCAGCTTGTAAAGCTGTTTTGTGGCAAAAGTTTGAAGTAATGGTTCTCTGTATGACTTTATCAGACTCTGTCATTACTATAGATACATTTTGGTCCACACTTCTTTACAGCGTTGCTTAGGTTCATTCATTTGCAGCCTTCATGTGTGCATAGGTCTTTGAAGGCCCCACCACAGCACCTGAGTCAAGCTGAGGTCTGGACTTTGACTGGACCATTGCAGCACTTTGATTATTATCATTATTATCATTATTTTTTTGTCATTCTGATTGGAGATTTGCTGCTGTTCTTTGGATAATTATCCTGTTGATCCAATTTGGGGAAAAGTTGATGGTCGAGTCAGTGACTGCAAGGTGCCCAAACCATCATTCTTCCACCACTGCGCTGACAGCTGGTATGAGGTGTTCGGTTTGTGCATCATGGATAAACATTTCCACTTTGTTACAGTCTTGTGTCTTGTTCAGATGATACTTTCCAAACTTTAACCTTTATCATGCTAACTGAGGCCTGTAGGATCTGAGATGGCGTGGGTGGGTTTTACACGGTCTTAACTTCTTTACTTCTGAGAGGAATTAAAGAGTAAATACAAAAATATGGGGTAAATCTGATCAGACGTCCACTTCTGGGGAGAATGTGGTACTGAATTAACACAAACCTGAATTTTCCAGACCTGCAACCTGCAAAAACTTTAGCTCTTTGGTGCTTATTCGCAGATGATCAGGTAATAAAGTCGATTTGATTATCAGCACCTGGCTGCTACTTACAGTAATAATTCCTATTGGCGCAGTGAGGATGCACTTAATTTTTCACAGGACTGCACTTCAATATAAATAAATCATGGAGCAAAGGTAGTAGTGGTTATTGTAGTGGTTTTTCTACAATGCTAATCAGAAGCTAATCTTCTGTATGTTCTCTATAGTATCACAAATCCCTGTGTGATCATTTTGCTATCCTTCTCTAAACACTTCAGTAGTAAATGAACTATTTGACAGAACCAGATGAACGTTTCCTGTTTCCAGTCTCTCTGTAAGCTAAGCTTAGCCAAACTCACTGACCTTCCAGACGATACCACTGGAATCCGTTGGTGATGCCCTCCAGGAACGGCCTGCTGTCCATACAGAAGTTACCTCGGTACATGGAGGCGTGATTGTGGGAGTACTCCTTAGCCAGGTGAACAAACACGTCATTATCAGGAGCGATGCTAGCCCCGCCCACCAGTTCACTACCTGTTTAAATGATGAGAGCAAAAGCCTGTGATTGGTGGTGATTATTTGAGGTTTAGAATTATTTTGTTTCCAGTAGCACTTCCTGTTGCCTTTTCCTGAAGTTTTCCCCAAGTTTTTCTGTGTGTGAGTTTGCAGGCTGGTAAAGTTAAGGCAGTAACTCTGACTAAATGACTGTTTTTAATCGAATAGTTCTACTGAGCAGTTATAAATCTGATTATCTCGATTAACACACTTCCTTTTCTGCATTTTGAAGTCAAAACAACAAATTCAAACAATACAAATACAAAACAAACAGGCTTTAAGCCATAGCGTTATGTGTTCCCACATAAACATCTGAAGTACAGGACTTAAAGAGTTTTAGCCGTTCAAATAAGAGATTATGAGAAGCTAGATTTATTCAAACTCAAAATCTCTTTTCTTTCTTTTTCAGAACAAGAGAATGAGCTTTTTATGAGCCGCACATTTTTTTTCTGCAGCTTATCCGAGTCCTGAAAGTATCCTAGTGCCTAAAATACCTCAACTGACTCCTCCAACAGGTTTTTAAAGCTCAGGTGTTTTATTAGATTTTTATTATTATTATTTCAGATAAAGGGAGAATGGCAAACAAATATTTTATTTCATGCTGAAAACTGGTGTTTAATATTCCTGTGAATATACCTTCTGGTCTAAGCCTTCCCTAATGATTGAGCGCTCCCTTTCTCTGCATTTGTAGTTTCTTTCTTTTTGTCAGTACCGTGAGCCCGTGGCCATGAGGTAACAAACTGTTAAATTAATATCTTTTCTTATTATTATTCCAGCTCTATTATCTTTGAAAATTATAAATATTCCACATCTAGCACATGACAGAAAGCTACGCTCTTCTGTAGAGGTGCACTCATCACACATTCTCTGTACTTGTATATTTGTCTGGTGGGTCTGAGGGCCTATTTCCTGCTTTGCACTTTCCATTTCACATGCTGATATGAAGCAAATAAGAAGCTCCAAAAACATTCTACAAAGATCCACAAAAACACGACTGTGGGACTGTTGTGGACGACCAGCTAAAGTCAGACTGCTGGATCTGCCGCTTACCGCCATTGCTGTTGTCATAGGGGTAACTGGCCACCACAGCGCCTCCATGAAGGTTTGCAGAGAGAACAAAACTCTCCGTCCTCAACCAGCCAATCACTGCTTGGACCTGAAACACATGATAGCATCCTGATGACAGAGGAAACTTAAAAACGCTGTCTCGTTCCAAAGCAAAACCAACCTCAGCTTCCCTTCTCTCCTCAAAGAGCTGCTGACTTTGGAGACCAGCGAAAGCATCCGGGAAGTCCCTGTTCAGATCAATGCCGTTGCCGTTGTACCTGACGGAGAAAAACGGTCACATCACGCATGAAAATGCTGTTTTCATTTCTGTATCAGGTCAGAGCACACAGCCTTCTTGGGTGGACTTCCCCCCTTGCCTGCGCAATTACAGTGAAATCAGGAGGGGTGTGACTTCACCTCTTAGTGCTAATCATAGTTTACCTCTTATATTTCTTGTCTATTTAAAAAACAAACTTTGAAAACTTTTTAAAACTTACAGTAAATTATAAGTCATTTAGTGCTGCTAAGGCTCCCTTGAGCAAGGCACACGTGTTAAAAATAGTTTCCATGATACTCTGAGTGTGCAGGATGAGAGTGTCTCTATTTAAAGAGCAGCTGCTGAGACACAAAATGATTTCTGTGCACAGACAGGCTGCCATCAGTTCCCTGTTAATTACTGACGATAAGAGATCACAAATATCTTTTTCATTGCGATCAGGCTGTTCTTGTCACTGCCATCTTCTGCTGCTGTTTTCAGACATTTACAGAAGGATCTGATTTTGTCAAGTTTATTTGAACACTACACAAAGGAAATCCAAACTCACAAACATCCTGTGTTCTACTGGGATTTGTTATATTTCAGATCAGAGCGAGGGCCGTCGAGGGGATCTCGATCGCATGACCCAATGACATCACGAGTCATGATTGACCTCACAGGACTCTAACGGAACTCAGAGCACTGACTTATTTAGAATCACATTTCTCTCACATCACAATTTGTCATTGTGCTGTCCCTTATTTTCTGTCATATCAATGGTGGAAGTTCATATTAGACGGGGCGATCGTGGCTCAAGAGTTGGGCGTTCGTCTTGTAATCGGAAGGTTGCCGGTTCGAGCCCGGCTCCGACAGTCTCGGTTGTTGTGTCCTTGGGCAAGACACTTCACCCGTTGCCTACTGGTGGTGGTCAGAGGGCCCGGTGGCGCCAGTGTCTGGCAGCTCTGTCAGTGCGCCCCAGGGTGGCTGTGGCTACAATGTAGCTTCACCATCACCAGTGTGTGAATGGGTGAATGACTGAATGTCGTGTAAAGCACTTTGGGGTCCATAGGGACTAAGTAAAGCGCTATACAAATACAGGCCATTTACCATGATAAGTCGGGGTTTGCATAATACATTTTTTTTTCTTTTGGCTCTGTATGATGTCGCATATTTATACTGAGGTTTGTGACAATAACTAGTTACTCTCGCCCGTCTTTCTCAAACCTAACTGCTTGCGGCCCCTCTCTAAACCTGTTTCTGCTTGAGGTTTCTTCCTGTTAAAAAAACGTTTTTCCTTCCCACTGTTGCCAAAGTAAGACAAATGTACAAATACATTATAGAGCCTCTAATTTGTCACTTAGCACTAATTAGCAGATATTAGCTGCTTTGTTTATATTGTTGATATTGCATCTGCACAGTTTAGTTTAGCTAGCATTAGTGATAGGTTAGCACTAAAACCCCAAATGGTCACTTCTCACAAAAACCAACATGGAAGCAACAAAAATGCCAAAGAGTCTGAAACCAGTTGGTGATGTCACTGTGGTCGTGCCGATCATTTATTTACTGACTATAGTTTCAGACCGTGGATGAGCGAAGTAGTTGCACTGAGGCTCAGTATGAGATAAATAAGGATTATTTTGATCTGTCAATCATGTAAAGCCGCTGTAGTGAAGTCCAAGAGTAGAAATATGTACCTTTTATCATAAAAGGCCTGCTCTGAGTGTCTTATGTCCAAATAATGATCCAATTCTTCTTTGAAATCTCAAAAGTGAACTTCTTCTCTCATCTACCTGAACTCTAGAAGAAAAGTAATTCATCCAATGGGACGACCCAAATCTTCTGGCACCTTTCTGTAGGAATTAGTGCCAGCATATTAAAACAAGACTTCACCATCTCATTTGTCATCTCACTCACTTTCATGTGCTTAAGTGAAATGTTTCCTTATAAGGTTTGGAAAGCAGTGACCCCAAAGAGACCACACACACACACACACACACACACACACGCACACGCACACACACACACACACACACACGCACACACACACACACGGACTAAACCTATATGGGAGGCAAGTCCACATAATGAGACTGTTCCCACAAGCAGTTACTGCAGACATGAGTCTACTGTAAACAGAATATACGAAGACGACGAAACAATCATAATTAGATGCTTACAGAGTATAATTGTGTGTGCATGTGTGTGATATAGATCTACAGTGTGTGTGTGTGTTTCTCTTGCCAATCAAAGTATTTTGGGTGCAGCAATGTAGCTTAGGCTTTACAAAACAAACAAGCTGTGACTGCAAGATTATGTCTGTGTGTCAACTTGGCATTTAATCTCTCTCACTCACTCACACACACACACACACACACACACACGCACACACACACACACACACACGCACACATGCAAAATTATTCTTTGCAAAAGTTAAAGTGTGAGAAATATTTTCCAGCGTTCATGTTTTGTTATCAACGTGTTTATGCTAACAGTGGATCCCGTGAAGAGGGCTGCTGATGGTGCGTAGCCTCACTAATCCAAGGAACTTTACAGCCAGTCAGCTGTAACTAAGTGGTTTAAGTCAAGTACTGCCCTTAAGCATGTTCCTCACAAATTTGAGGAATGTAAACTTTTAATACTACTTCATAGTTATTAAATGCTGCATAAATTTGTAGGTTTGCCTCTAAAAATATGAAATAAGACAGCCTCTCATAAGTCACCATAGTCACGGACTATTTCAGTTTGGAATCTGGCATTATTCGTTTGGACTAAAAACCTAATCAACTGGAGATGGTGCAGGAAAACAACAGGATGTCCTGAAACACAGTGCACATCGTGGTGACAGGTGGTGTTCCTGCACTCAATGCTCCGCTGCTGATTGAGGAAGAAAACTGCAACTGCAGATCTGTTGATACCAGACTTGGAATGTCTCCATGTGTCTGTGGATGAGACGACTCCCGGCTGTGGAAGTGCATATAAAAACAGACTGCCTTTCAAGATACGCTGTTACAGCTTCCCAGAATCACAGTGACAGAAGATGGCCAGAGGCCAGGTCAGTCGCTGGGCAGCCTTTACTTTACAGGGGAGAGTATTATATTTCCTACATATTCATTTTGTTTTGTGCAGTAAAAACAAGTGCAAGCTGTGCCTTTTAAAATCTGAAATCCATTTTAATATATCTGACATGATTTTGGGTGCAGTTATTTTTGTTTATGTGGCATTAATTTTACTGTCTAGTAAAATTCTAAAATTTTTAATATTAAACTTTTTTTTCTAACTTCAGTGATATTTCTTAATCTAAGCCCTTTTTAGCGTGCTGTCAGTACTTTAATTACAGAAGAGGATCTGTATACTTTGTCCAGCAATGCTTTTAGCCAGCAGCAATGTTTTTCCCGCAGCAGGCAGCGGCTTTCAGTTGTCGAGGCTCTAAAAAGCCACCGTACGTGACCTGCTGAGCAGCCAACAGCAGGGTACATCAAAGACGAGCAGGTGAACACAGCAGAGCATTTAGCAGCTACAGAAGCAGATATGTCCCTCAGGAGGGAGTCATGCATATTGCATGAGCATGCAGCAAATAAAGCTCTGAGTCCTCAACAACGGCTCATTTGTTCTCTTGTACAATTTCACTTCCTACTGTTTCACTTAAGAGGTTAGTTCATGCCTTTGAGTTCATCATTAGGGGTTTTTGCTAAAATACACACTGCACACAGAGAGCAACACAATCAACAGTGTTCAATCTCTCTTTTAGTTCTGTTTTTGGTCTCCACTTCCCAGTCAGGAAACGTCTGTTTGCCGTCTTAATGTTTTACTAGCTGCTGATGAGCACAGGGTGTGCCGCAGGTCTCTCAGAACTTAAAACAGAGGTAAAGCTGTTTGCGTTACCTGCCCTGGCTGTTGTAGCAGTCCTTGTCTGCTACGTCAAAGCCGTCTGGGTTCATCGTCGGCAGGATGTGGATGCGTGTGCTGTTCAGCAACCGCAAGGACCATGTTTCGTTGCTACGGTAACTGCGCACCAGCTCATCTATTAGTTGAAGGAGCAGCACTCGGCCAAGAACCTGAAAGCACACGAATACAAACACGCAGAAAGAAATTTAGGTAAAAACAAATGTTGTGATGGAATTTACGGCTTGTCCTCACACATAAGTCATAAGTGAACAGCACAAAGTTTAGATTATGCATTATGCAAGATTCATATTTAGGAAAATGGGTGAACAGATGTTAGTGCAGGTATGGTCAGCCAACTGTGAAGTAATCACTTCCACCTTCCGCCAATATAACATAATGTCTTTCCACCATAACGAAAGACATTATGTTATTCACCTCCCACATGCAGCTGGCCATTCCCATGGCTTATCGTAGAGCTAAAACACCCGTCAAGGTCAGTCCTCCTAAATACTCCACTGTGACTAACCTTTGACTAACACACGAAAAACATGACTACATATGAAAAAGAGTAGAAAAGATGATGTTTCCAGGGTTAATCTGAGTATCTGAATGGGTTAATGAATAGAATAGAATAGAATAGAATAATCCTTTAATTGTCCCACAAGGGGAAATTTGGTTGTATCAGCAGCAAAAACACACATATACAAACAGAACAGAACACATTTTTTTTACATATTTACATCATGGACAATAGTTACCAAAGCAGAGTACTGTACAGTTATTAAAATTAGAATACAGATCAGTGGCAAACCCAGGTTGCAGTATGCAAACAGAGCAGGATACTGAAAGATGTTTAAATAGTTAAGAATATTTAGAATAATTAGAAAAGTGCAGGTTGTGTATTGTACCTGTGCATTAAAAAGTAGACATGTAACTTCCAATAAGTTAGTGCATAGATAACCTGAGAAAAGTAATATGCAAGTTATAACAGTAGAAGTTGTTACAGCACTGATGTAAACATCTATGTTTGTTGGGAGCAGTTCTGATTGTACAGTCTGACAGCTGCAGGGAGGAAGGACCTGCGGAAACGCTCCTTCATGCACCGAGGATGCAGCAGTCTGTCACTGAAGGAGCTCTGCAGCTCAGCAACATTTAAATGCATAGGGTGGGAGACTCTGTCCATCAGAGAAGTTATTTTGGCCAGAGTCCTTCTGTTTCCCACCACCTGCACTGGATCCAGGGTGGATCCCAGAACAGAGCTGGCCTTCTTAATGAGTTTATCCAACCTCTTCCTCTCAGCTGTCGATAAACTGCTGCTCCAACATACAACACTGTAAAAAATGACGGATACCACCACAGAGTCATAGAAGGTCTTTAAAAGCACTCCCTGGACTCCAAATGACCTCAGCCGCCTCAGCAGGTAGAGTCTACTCTGACCCTTCCTGTAAAGAGCATCAGTGTTGTGGCTCCAGCCCAGTTTATTATGAACGTCAAGTTTACGCCAAGTTTACGGCTGTCCAGGGTCCATTTTGGCTTAATGGATGGTTCGCAAAGTTTGCAGTGAAAACCGCAGTGAAGTCAATAATAATTACAGGGGTGGGATTAAATAAGTGTATACTTCTTCCCACTCCCTTTCAACATGTAAATTAATCAGAATGTTTTTTTGTATGTAATTTGTATAGTATATTTTTTTCTCTCATTTCTTTTCTAAATGTACTTGTATATTGTTCACATGTTGAAATAAATTACCAATCAATCAATCAATCAATCAATCAATCAATCAATCAATCAATCAATCAATCAATCAATCAATCAATCAATCAATCAATCAATAAATATTCCAATCAGTTCAGCTTTCCTTTAGTGATATGTGTGGAAACTTTAAGTATTTCCAGGTGAGGACATTAAGTTTAGTTGCAAAATTGGAAATGTGCTTTCAGTATAGTGACAGCAGACTCAGTTAACGTGGATAACTACGGAGCCCCGCAGGGGACATGGGAGAAAAAAAAATTAAGACGGACTTTTGCGAGATCTCGCAAAACAAACTCGGGATCTCGCAAAAGTTTTAAAGTTTAAAAGTTTTAAACTGGTATCACATGGAAGTACAGGCAGACACAGTCTAAGTTATTTTCAGTTGTTAGCTCTTCAATAATTATATAAATTTCTTTAACACGAAGAAATGTTTATTTTCATTGTTTAACAGCTTTAGTTATTTTTTTTTATTTAGAGTGGTTTATTTTTCCTAAACTTTACAGTGCATTGCTTTCACTTTATTAGGCTAAAAGTTTAACATTTAATTTCACTCCACCATTCTTTGTTTTCTGTGTGTTGACCTTGCATGTTCCTGCCTGAAGAAAACAGCGGGGGAGGAAGTGATGTCGTGAGTCAGCGAGGAATTGAAATGGAATCCAGGGACGAGTCACGATGAGGCATTTTTTCCGGATACAGGCGGCTTATTGGATGATGAAAAACATCTTTGTGAATGAATGAGAGCCTTGGGAGTGGGAATGACAGAAGGCTGGGAAAGGTGTGTATCCACATCATCTCACTCACACACACACACACACACACACACACACACACACACACACACACACACACACACACACACACACACACACGTCAGGACTAGCGCTGCCTCCAGCCATCATATTGCTTTCCTTCATCAAACTCCCTCCATCTTTTGTCTCTGTTGCGATCACACGAAAACACACATTTTTATTTTTGCATTTTTATACTGTGATTTATCTTTTTACTTTATATCAGCTGAACATCACTGACACCCTCTGTTAGGTTAGGCAACTGTTCCTTCATCAGGGTCGGCGTGGAGCCAGTTTTCAGTGCGGGCAATTTCATCCACCAACACTTTTTTCATGGTCGAAGAAATTCGATATCTACTGTTAGCTCTGGCTTTACTGTGTTTTGTACAATCAACATGTTCCTTATCAGTCTCTACGGCACCCCTAACTCGGGGATAATTGGCCTTGGAAGAGCTGGTCTTTGCTGCTCTTCTTTCTGTGCTAAATGGCGCTAAAAAGTCAGAAAGCAGAAACCATCACATAGCAGCTGCTGATTCAAGCACTCAGGAGGCCCAGGTCAGTCTCCACAGAGAGGAGGGGACGCCCTGCAGCTGTGAGCAGCCACGCCTCAAACAGCAACTGTTGGTGCTATATAAATAAAACTGAACTGAACTGAACAACCAAATGGAAGAACGTCAGCAAGACCAAGGAGCTGGTGGTGGACTTCAGAAGGGGTCAGCACAGAGACTACAAGCCCATTATCATCAATGGAGCTCCAGTGGAGAGGGTGCAGTCCTTCAAGTATCTTGGTGTCCACATCTCCTCAGACCTGACATGGGCTGCCCACATTCAGGTCCAGACCAAAAAGGCTAGGCAGCGCCTGTATCACCTACGACAACTGAAGAAGTTCAGGGTCTCTCCAAAGATCCTCAGGATTTTCTATACAGGCGCTGTGGAGAGCATCCTCATACAGAACATGACATCGTGGTTCGGGAACAGCTGTGTGAAGGACCAAAAAGCTCTCCAGAGAGTGATCCGTACAGCAGAACGCTGCTGCAGGATTGCTCTCCCCCCGCTTCAGGACACCTACACCAGGAGATGCCGGACTAGAGCAGCGCAGATACTGAAGGACCCGTCCCATCCTGGCAACAAACTGTTCCAACTTCTGCAATCTGGTAGAAGGTTCCGCATCTTCCGGGCAAGGACAGAGAGACTCAAGAGGAGCTTCTATCCCCAAGCCATCCGTGCCCTAAACACACACACCCGCCCTCTCACATCATCTATAATTGACTGAGACAGGACTCTTCCAGACACTAAACCAAGGCACAATGTACATTTCAATTCCTTTAATTTTAAATATGTTTATATTGTCTATCCTGTAAAATAGTCAGATATCTATTCATATTAATGTACAGAATTCACCTGCTTGCTGCTACTACTGCACATTCACCCAGTGTATATACTATATGTGTATATATATATATATATATATATATATATATATATATATATATATATATATATATACACGATGGATGGGTGGCAAACCTGGAGGATCTTGTGCCTGGCGGGACTGTCTATCGAGGACGCTGAGGATATTTACCTATTCGGAACCATGATAACAGGGTTCTTGCTGATCGGAGCTGGCTTGGCCCTGACTTATCGGAGAAATAAGAGAGCGGAACCAGCTGTTCAAACCCCCCCTAAGCTGACCGCTGGAATTGAAGCAATGGGACGAGGCGCGGCCTCCCACACCGAACGCAGCATGGTTAACACCTTGGAGACGCTTACAGCTGCCGTGAAGACTCAAACTAACACCATTGAGCGTATGATGGGATACATCAGAGAGGGGCCTGCTCACAATAACACCCTTGAGCGAAAGTTGGATAACATCGCAGAACGGCTCACTGCAGCTGTGGGGTCTCAGAACCAAAAGAATGACAACACCACGGAACAGAAGCTTGATACCATCATGGGGAGGCTCGCAGCGCTCCAACGGGAAATCGAGGCCCCAGTGTCAGAGTGCTAAATTCGCTGCTCGCATAAAGGAGAAATCAACAATATTCTACATTTGGACACCACGGCGCCAGCTGCTCAGGCCCAAGGCTGGAGCCCACCAAAACAACTCCCTGATAACGACTGTGTGATGACTATTCTTCCCATCCCATGAAGGACACCTGGATCGGCTGGAGGACTGTTTACTTAGCCTGATACAGCGAAGGACACTGTCTCAGCTGAACTATGGACACGCACACACATACACTTACACTGATAAGCACGCACTCATCCCCCTCCCTTCCAAACGCCTTCGATGCTTGTTCCTGCGGGGGAAGGCAGCGGGTCTGTGTGCCGCGCTGAAATGGTAGCATGGTGCAGGACGACTGCTGTGTTCCTTCAAATCACCCCCCACCCCCCTATCCATCCCCTGTGGCTTGTCATGTGCTCTGATGTTGTGATGTGGACATTAATGTGCTCTCTGTGCAGAGGAGGTTTTTTTTGTTTCCTGTTCTCATGCTGTCCTCCCATAGGTTGCCCAGCGTGTGAAGAGGTCTCTTTTTTTTTCCTCTTGTACTTTTCCCAATGTTGTGTAATTTTTTCAGTGTTATTCTCCCAACGCTGCCGATCTCCGACTGTATTCCCTTGTGTTGTCT